TGGCGTTCGTGATGCATGTAGGAAAGGATTATTGGACTGGTCCCCTAGGCTATTATTGGCCATGTACAGCTGTGACATACAAGCATCGAGTATGGCTCTCGCTAGTATCAAATTTGGACCCTAACATATTTAATTTTCAGCGGAGGTATTGGGCAAAGTCTACGGGGTTGTAGCTAGGCGGAAAGGGAGAATAGTTGCCGAGGAGATGAAGGAAGGAACCACTTATTTCACTGTGTCTTCCCTGATCCCTGTAGTGGAAAGTTTTGGTTTTTCGGACGGTGAGTGACTAATATGGTTCTTAAGGACCAAATACTCAGGGACCTCACAGAAATCCGCTCGAAAACCTCCGGTGCTGCCAGTCCACAGCTGATTTTCAGCGGGTAAGGGACGATCAGCTTCTGCTTCAATCTTCTTATTGACATTATGCGAAACAGATATGAACTATTAGATCTAGACCCATTCTGGGTGCCAACGACTGAAGAGGAACTTGAAGACTTGGGTGAAAAGGCGGATAGGGCTAATGTAGCGAGGGTATACATGGATGCAGTTCGCGAACGGAAGGGAATGTTCGTGGAGAAGAAGCTAGTACAGTTTGCGGAGAAACAGCGAACATTGAAGAAATAGTACCCGACTGTTGACACTTAGAAGCCGCTATTTCTGGGGATCAGGTCCCAATCTTCGTTTCAAAGAACATTTTATGTTATCGGGGTATCTTTTGGCCAGTAAGCGATTGATACACAATATGTGAGAGTGCCGCACCTAGCAAAATTATCCTTGAATGTGAATTCATTAGGTGATGGTATTGTTTCGCCTTCGATGGGAGCAACTCGGTAGCGATACAGTAGGCCAGCAACCAAAGTGAAGCCCACTCGATCTGCTAGCTGTAAACCAGGACAAGACCTGCGTATAAATTTCAATATATGTCGAGTTGATGAGGAAGGAAAGCCAATACCGTTTGCCGAAGCCAAATATGATGTCGTAGACGTTAGGAAGCTGGTGCGCGTTTGGATTTTCAGATTCTAGCCATCTTTCAGGTTTGTATATATCTGGTTCATCCCATATTCGAGGATCTCGGCACATGAAGCTATTTAGGGTTTTGTTCAGTAACCCAGAACAATTCTTGTGAGTGCCACCTACCCAGCATTAAAAAATACCAAAGTACCCTTTGGTATATATGAACGATTATATATGTCATCCTGTAATGAGGCGTGCGGGACCCCTTCCAAATACGGGGACCGTCAATAATACTGAACAGGTGTACGCGAAGCTAGTTACCTAAAGCAAGGGTAGGGTGCCAACGCATAGCTTCTTTCCAAGCAGCATCTAAATAAGGTAAGTTTGTTCTATCGTCTGAAGATGGCAAGTCCCCATCCTTTCTTCCGAATACTTCGTCTAGCTCGGCATGAATTTTTGTTTGGGCATGCGGATGACTAAGAATAGCTGAGAGGAATATGATGATCGTGAATGTAGTCTACAATGCATATTAACGAGTGTAGTGCATCTCTATTCGAGAAAGGTGGCTGACCGTATCAACACCAGCTAATATGCAATGGTGTCAGACACTGAGCATAAATGGGTAAGGCACCTTACCTCCAAATAGCACACCTAATATGTCTCTCATTAGATCTAGCCTCT